TTGATTCGAATCTGGAGCTTGTCAATTTTATCATTAAGCTCATTGTTTATCTTCATCAGTTTATCCAGAGATGCTAGAAGTAACCAGCCCGCATCATTATTTTTCTTATTTTTCCACACATTGTCAAATGTTTTATGTATAGAGTCACTAAATTTCTTGCTCGTCTCAAGCGGTGTTAGGAGATTCAAATGCATCTATCTCCATAACTATTTCAAATAGTCTACACCATGGATTTTCAGTGCTCTCCATGCTACCTGAAGACTCAGTTGGAGAGTCTGCTCCAAATACCAACAAGCCCATTAAAGAAATTCATCCTTTCGATTCTGTTTCTCTAGAACCACTCCTGGTACCACAATCTGCGTTAGTTAGGGTTCTCCAAAGAAACAGAACCAGTAGAATGAATATGTATGTATGTATGTATGTATGTATGTATGTGTGTGTGTGTGTGTGTGTATATATATATATAATGTATATTTATCAGCTTAGCTCACAGGATAGAGTACGAGTAGTCCAACAATGGCTACACCACACTGGAGAGGCTGAGAATCCAGTCGCTCAGCCCATGAGGCTGGATGTCTCAGTAGTCCCAATCTGGCACTGAAGGTCTGACGAATTCTAAAAGATGAGGTAGTCTTCAGTCTACAGGATCAAGAGGAACTCACCATCAAGAGAGAAGGTAAGCAGCAAGAAGCCAGGCATTCTCTGCTGTGGCCTTTTATACGTGCTGCCATCAGAAGATAACACCCACATCTAGGGTGTGTCTTCCAGCTTCAGATGATGCAATCAAGATCTCTTTCATTTCAGTTAATCCCAGAGCCAGTCAAGTTGACACCCAGGATTAGTCATCAGAAATCTAATGCCTTATGAACATAGATAGAAACCTTAAATAAAATGAGCACACGGATTCTAAGAAAATATGCACCAGGTTTACTCTAGTAATGAATGAAAGACCTGTGAAACCATATATAGCACACATTAACAAATTAGAGGGATTCTCACATACAGAAGAAGTGCCTGAAAAAAACCCGCCATTTAAAAGATTATGTCTATGCCTGTAGATTAGTACGGCTGGAAACTTGGGTCAAAGAACGTTTTTGCCCTGAGCACCAACACCTGCAGACTCATCACTGGTTGAAGTACTGAGTTGAGAATTGCTTAGCCCTAGCAGGTTACCTGTGCCATCCTTTCCAGGGCTCACAGAACATCCTGGAAGGGACAGTGTGGTAAACACTCCCTGCAGGTATGACATGGCCCTGCACCCCTAAATGCCCAGTGGCTGTGAGGATATGCTCGAGACCTGCACAAGCCTGGGCCTGTCAGCACTCTCTCATGGAGAGGTGGAGTTCATGAGACCCCACCTCTCCCTAAGGCTCTCTAGGCAGCTAATAATTACAAGGGGAGGAAAAGATGTTCTCCTCAGAGGTGCAGTCACTGGTAAGATGCCTGTGCTCTGTAAGCAACTCTAATGAAACTCACTGGGCTACAAAATAAACATTAAAATAATATTCAAAAAAGCGAGGAAGAGCATCATCGGGAGTTGGGGAGTCGGAGGGTAACATGGGGGGGGGTAAACATCCAATGTTATGTATGATTAATAAATGCTAAAAACATTTTTAAAAATTCATAATTTTCAGCAAACAATACTAAGAAAAAATTTAATACCGTAAGTGACTCTGCTGCAAACCTTCAGCAAAATTATACTTAAATTCAGTTTTCCCATACAGATCAAGAAAAAAACAAGGACACCTGGGAGCAGAAACTTTATTCAACATCATTCTAGAAGTTCTAACCAACACCAGGAAAAGAGAAAGCTGAGGGGTAAGAGACTGGAAAAGAAACATATTGTTATTGGTAGAAGATGACATTATGTATGTAAAAAACTTCAAACGAGCTGAGAAACCACACGAATATTGAGTTTGGCAAGTTCTATGAATTTATGATGGCTGCATGTAAAGCCAGGGGCTGGACCCATCTCGGGTCAGTGGTTAAGAACACATACTGCTCTTGCAGAGGACCAGAGTTAGGTTCTCAGCACCCAAATCAGGCAGTGCACAACTACCTGTAACTCCAGCTCCAGGGGATCTGATGCCCTCTTCTGGCCTCTGCAGGCACTGCCATTGCTCTTACCCACTGAGCCCTCTCCAGCCCCTCAAAATGTAAATTCTTAAAATTTCCTATTTCATTTTATTCCTATTAAAATTTTTATTCATATTAAATTCCTATTTTATTCCTATTAAAATTTAAATTTTTTAAAAAAAAATTTTTTATGTATATGGGTGTTTTGTCTACATGTAAGTATACCATGTGCACTGTATGCAATGCCTGTGGAGGCCAGAAGAGGTCACTGGATTCCTTGGAAATGGAGTTATGGACTGTTACTACCGGGTGGATGCTGAGGACCCAACCCATATCCTGTGCAAGAGCAGTCAGCGTTCTTAACTGCTCCCCAGCCCTATCAAATGTATCTTCATAGAATTTGATAGTTGATTCCTGAATATTTATACTAAAGTGCAAAGAATAGCACTTTATAAAAGAGTGCTTATAAAAGAGGAACAGGGTAATGACTTGCTCTATGAAGCCTTTAGAAACAGTATTGGAGAATATCAGAATGATTTCAGAGTAGGGACTGTCTCAATCAAGAGTACATCCTCAACAAAAAGTAACTGATAAGTTGAACTATGTTAAAATGAAAGATTTTATATGAAAATCAGTATCAAAATGTTCCTAAAAGAGAAACTAAAAGTGGGAAATTATATGTATATGTGTAAGACAAGTAAGTAACGGGGGATTGGTATCCAAGTACTAAGAACTACTACAAGAAAAGGACAAGAGAATAACACAAAAGAAATCCAAATAGACTATTAACATGTGAATCAGTAATGGAGACGACACAGGTGAAGACTCAATGATAGGTCACTATACACATGACCAGGCAATGTGAAACTGGGGAGGTAGACAATATAAGGCACAGTGGGAGGACAGGACAGGAGAGCTTTCACCCTGGTGCTGGGATGCACATGCAAAGCACTTACATGCTTCTCTGCATGTTTACAAGAATGTCTGTAGTGCCAGGCATGTATTAAAATACATTTTGGAGGCTGGAGCAGTTCTGTGAGTCAGAATGCTGTGCAAGCACGAGGATGTGGGGTCTTACTGGGAGTAGTCATGTAAAAAGCTGGGTATAGCCCCACGGGTGCCTGTAACCTCAGGGCTATGGGGCTGGAGCCTGTTGGCCATCAACCCAGCTCCAAGTTCAGTGAGAGATCCTGTCTCAAGGGCATGAAGTAGAGTGACTGAGGAGGACACCAGACAGCCACCTATGGCTTCCACATGCACGTGTTTCCACACACATGTGCACACACTGCACACACAATGCATTTTGGGGTTTATATTTGATTAATTTTAGAGTCTAATACTTATTGAAAACAGTGTCTATCGTTTTGGCTATATAACCATGTACATATATGAGAATATATAATACACATATTTAGTCATGTAAAAAGCTGGGTATAGCCCCACGGGTGCCTGTAACCTCAGGGCTATGGGGCTGGAGCCTGTTGGCCATCAACCCAGCTCCAAGTTCAGTGAGAGATCCTGTCTCAATGGCATGAAGTAGAGTGACTGAGCAGGACACCAGACAGCCACCTATGGCTTCCACATGCACGTGTTTCCACACACGTGTGCACACACTGCACACACAATGCATTTTGGGGTTTATATTTAATTTTAGAGTCTAATACTTATTGAAAACAGTGTCTATCATTTTGGCTATATAACCATGTACATATATGAGAATATATAATACACATATGGTGTGCACACACTGCACACACAATGCATTTTGGGGTTTATATTTAATTTTAGAGTCTAATACTTATTGAAAACAGTGTCTATCATTTTGGCTATATAACCATGTACATATATGAGAATATATAATACACATATGCCTATACACACACATATAACATGCACATTAGATCAATGTCATTACTTTGTGTGCATGACCTACCAGCCTGAAGGAAAACTGTGTCCAAAATATCCCCATGGCTCTAGACTGCCAGTTTTTCCATTGTTCTGATTCCTCAACCAGTTGTGTCGTACTCCTCGATTTCCTAGTTTTTCTCTGTGCTGTAATAAGATGCTTAACACTTCTCAATATAGAAATTCCCTTGGTAATAAATATTACTACATATGGGGATTGAACTCAGGTCATTGGCCTGGGCAGCAGGTACCTTTATCCACCAAGCCATCTCACTGGCCCAGGCTTTAATAACTTGCCTGTTACATCTTATAACCTTTCACTTTCTATATTTTCGTTTAATTACATCTTATTAAAAATGAAACATTTTTAAGCAAAATTTTCACCTTTCCTGAGCTATTAACTTTGTAAATGAAGGAGCTGAAAGTGATTCAAGTGGTAGAAATGCAGAGATGAGCGTTGTAACTGGACTGGGGTACTGCTGGTTTAACTGAGTTTTGATGGCCCATGAGCCTGTATCACAATTGCCTTCATTTAGCGATTATCTTGTGAAAGGAAATAATTTCTCTGGGTCTTGTGTGTCTTTTCAAATCAAGACTCAAAGGAACAGAAGTCACCTCTTCCTTTTTAAGCTGGGGTATAATTCAGTAGTAAATTGCTCAAATGCTCACCTTACATGTGCAAGGCCCCAGGTCTGGTTCCTAGGCACCACAAAAGAAAAATTACATATGAAACAAATTAAATTATATGAAATTCATAGCTTTACACAAGAACATGATTTTTCCCTGTTAATGCTCGTTCTCTCATCAAATCATCTGCTAACTTACTTATCATTCATTTGGGGAGTCTTACTAGGTAACTCTGCATCAATCACTTTAGATGCTTGGCTCCATCAATGGACACTGCAAGGACCCTTGCCTTTTAGAACGTAGTCTGCATAAGGATCACGTACACACATGCACGCTGTGTGAAAAGATCAGAACACAGGAGAGTACAGGACATTAGGACGGAAGAGCAGCTGCAACCTTCAACAGGCTGTTAGGGTGGGCTGGTCACATCTGAGCACGGAGGGATAAGAGGAAGCTCCTAGGCACAAAGCGGGGTGTCTCAGCAAAAAGGCATGTGAGGGGCTGGAGAGATGGCTCAGTGGTTAAGAGCACTGGCTGCTTTTGCAAAGGACCAGGGTTTGATTCCCAGCACCAAAAATAAAACTTTTTTTTTTTTTTAAAAGGCATGTGAGTTGGAAAGGGGTGAGCCCGAGACAAGGGGAAGGCCAGGGCAAAGTGGAGGTGCTGTGAGCTTCCGAGGCGGGGGGCAGCAGGGGCCCCACTACCCCACTGTCTGACTTGTTCTTTTTATTCAATTCCATCCAACTGATGGTATAATGTGCTAACTTATTAGCTATTTTCATTTCCTCATTGAGAATTTGAGGCTCATTCATGTTTTCTTTCTACTGTTGATTTGGAGCTGCTTTTTCTGAATGCCTTGTTTATATCCTTTGTTTTGATTGGATTGCTTTACATTATGTGTATTAGTAACAGTATTATCTCTTTATACCTTAAAGACCTTAAAAAACTTACCAGCTAATCTATCATTTAACTATTGACTTTTTTTACATCTTCTGCTAAAAACAATTTTTAAATTTTTTATTTAAAAAAATTTTTTTAAATTTTATGAGTGCATTGCCTGCATGTATGTAGCCCGTGTCGTGCAATGCCCACACAGGTCAGAAGAGGATGGATTCCCCTGGAACTGGAGTTATGTATGGTTGTTAGCTACCATGTGGGTGCTGGGAACTGAACCTGGGTCCTCTGCAAAGGCAGCAAGAGCTCTTATCCACTGAGAGTCTCTCTCCTCCCAAAAGGAAGATATTGAGAGTTTATGACACTTTTTTGATAAAACTCCATTCAAAGGGAGACCAACTCCCTTTTAAGTACTTTCAGTAAATCCCTAAATGTTCTTGACTACTAAAAAAGAGATCAGCAATCAGTTTGCACAGTAAGCATCCAACAAATACTTGCATCTCATGGAGCTGGAAAACAGAA